AGAGATTCTTATCTTTTGGGAAACATGTCTCTCAAGAAGATACAGTAGTGGTGAATCACAGGTACATGGAAAAATAAAAATGCTCACCATCACTTCTGATCAGGGATATCCAAATCAAAACCACAATAAGGTATCACCTCACACCAGTGAGAAAGGCTTAGGTCAAAAATTGGGAACAAATGTTATCAAGAATATGGGGTAGGAACCTGGTGGTGAGAATGTAAACTGGCGTCATTCATGAAAAACAGTATGGAGATAGGCATAAAATAAAAATGTTGACACTGTATGTTACAGAGATAATACTCCCAGGCATAATAAAAACACTAATTTAAAAATGCTTCTTGTACCTTAATGTTCAATGTGGCATTATCCATGACAATTAAAATATGATTTAATTTTTTGTTAGGTGACTGGATAAAAAAAAGTGTAGATGAATATATATATGTATAAAAATAAAATTTCTACTTGGGACAAAGCGAGTAAGCCTTGAGGTTCTTATGTTATGTGATGTAAGAATGTGAAAGACAATGAAGGGATGTTCTTACTCATTATAATATTACTCATATATAAATAACTGAAGCAAATAAATCGGGAAAAATGCTAAAATTAACTCTGGAACTTAGTGGAAGTTATGAAGGTTGCCAGAAACTATGATGGAAAGAATAGGTGGGAGGGTTCTTTTCAGATGGTACAGAGACTGTGGTGCTGTATAAGTGAATCCTATCCACATACTGAGAGGTAAGTGCTCTCTATATTCATATCCATGTTTGTAATGTTATTTTGATTACTATAAAAATTAAAACCATGAGATGGGTGACTTTGGTCACATGGCAAAAATAAAACATCCTTAATTATATAGGCAACTCAAATAAGTAGTTTTTTTTTTTGGCTTTTTGGGTCACACCTGGAGATGCACAGGGGTTACTCCTGGCTCGTGCACTCAGAAACTACTCCTAGCAGTGCTTGGGGGACCATATGAGATGCTGAGAATCAAACCCAGGTCAGCCATGTGCAAGGCAAATGCCCTGCCCACTGTGCTATCACTCCACCCCCCTCAAATAAATAGTATTATTTTTAAATTTTTATTAGTGAAACACCATGAGGTACAGTTGTAGACTTACAAATTTTTGTGCTTGGGTTTCAGTTATACAATGATCGAGTACCTATCCCTCCACCAGTGCCCATTCTCCACCACCACTAATCCCAGTATTCCCCCATCCCCCCATCCCACCCTGCCTCTGTGGCAGAGAATTCCCTTTTGTTCTCTCTCTCCTTTTGGGTGCTGTGGTTTGCAAAAGAGGAATTGAGTGGTAATCGTGTTTGGTCTATAGTCTACTTTTAGCATGCATCTCCCATCCTGGGTGGATCTTCCCAAGACCCTTTATTTGGTGCTCCCTTCTCTATCTGAGCTGCCTTTACCTGTAGAGTGTGCAGCTGGCCTCCAAGCCATGGAGTAAACCTCCTGGTTCTACAAATAAGTAGTATTTTAACTGAGCAAATTTTCAGGATTTTTTCTGTTAATGTGATGACTTTGGGACAATTTTTTTAATAACTGAAATCAGAATACATAATTCCATAAGTATCTCTAGTGCTATGATGACTATAAGTATTTAGAACCTTAAACTGTCCTGGAAAACTATGCTTTATTTCCCTTCTTTGTTTCACTTTTCTCTTTAAATGGAACTTCGTTAGATTTAAAATACCTCTTAAAATAAATTTAAATTTTCACCTGGACAAAGTGGCCATTAACTTTAAGATAATATAGCTAAGTTGTTGATGAGGTCCAAAAGAGGACTGAGAGGCAGAGGGTGTGGAGTTGAGAACTGAAAGGTGGAAGTCGTTTGGACAGGCTGAGTGAGAGCATAACTAGAGGGAGCATCGTGGACCGACCCTGAGAGTCTGGTTGTGATTAGAAAGCATACATTTCTGGAACCAGAAAACAATTCCTGACATTCTTTAATTACATGACACGTAAGTCAGTGGAAGAGAAGGCTGATTCTATGGTTCACCGCAGTTGGAACTGTCTTAACAAGGAGTCAAGGCACCCATGTGCTAAAGCAAAGCTGAAGTGGGTGACTGGGATATGCTGGAAGCACTGTCTTAAAAGAACTATAATTCTTTTAAGAGCATTGTAGTCCAGTGTTCTCTTAAGAGCAACTCCTTTAGTTTTTCCCCATTGTTCAAAAGATTTGAAGGAAGACCGTTGACTTTGAAAGGACAAGAAATCAGCATGCTATAAACTGCCTAATACAGCATAATGCAAATCCTGAAATCTATTTTAAAATCAAATCTCTGAGTCAAATTAGAAACAACCTCACATTTCAGGAATGAATCTCTTTGCTTAAAAATGACTGATATGTAATAAATAGGCAGCTGCTTTCAAAGCACTGTTCTCAATGTGATGGATGCTGCATAAATCTCATGGTTTCTAAGGTGGAAAAGGAGCTAACCTGGAAGTAAAACTGCCTAAATCACTGGTCAGGGGCAAAACGGGTCCTGGAATGGAGAGGGATTCTGAGTTCACGTCTCTTGTGAACTCAGAATTGTTTGCCTTCCATTAACCTTTAGGTATTATGTCTTGGCCCAGGTATTTAGAAAAAGCACCTGGGTATCTGCAGACTAACTTCACACATACACAGGAAGGGGATGAAGGCCAGTAATGGGAAGGTCAAGGCGAGTGTCAAACAGCAGGGTTTGAAACCGTCCTGGATGGCAGAGCCAAGGCTGCCATTCTGGAACACACCCCTCTTGAAGCTGGATTATGCCTGGCTTCATGTGCCAGATGTCTGAGATCACTCCCACCCTCAATATTTCTTTCTGCTTTTCTCTCATGCTCAACATGCTGGAGTACACAGAATCCATTGAGTAACTCAGCTAAATATTCAGGGGTGCTTTCTGCCTGGCTTATTGTCAGGAATCCTCCTGTTCCACCTTTGTTCTCTCATCACACGTTTTAACCCTTTCTCTAAATGAAATACCTACCTTATATCTCAGAGCTAAGGAGCATTTTCCCTATTTTGCATATAAAAAAGTCAATCCCATGTATGCAAGTGTATGACAGGTTCTCAGTATGATGAGAGGAAGAAAAGGAGGTAGCTTCAAACTTCTAAAGTCTGAACTTGAACATTTGTAAGATCTTCACACCTTTACCATTCTCACCTCATCCTACACTGAACAAGCATGAATTTTTTTCCCAGACCTGCCCAAAGAGATACCAAATCCAAGAGAAGTTTTAAGAAGCCCCTTTTAGGTTAGAAACTGGCTACAGTATTTGAGAATTAAGGATTTGGTTAGATTTCTACATCTTAGTCGCTGGTCTAAATCTCAGCATGATGAATGTCTGCATTGTAGAAATCAGCCATAAACAACCTTGGAATAATAGTCAAGTTAACTCATTTCACAATGCTATGTAAGAGTTGAGAGGTTGGGTAATTTTTTCAAAAGAATATTTAATTTAGGCCAAATTTTTAGAGTGAATTATTTAGGAAAATTATTTGTGCACTTATGTGCATGAGGTTCTATTATTAGATAGATCATTTTAAGAAATTTATCCTTTGTGACCATTGAAAAAACAGGTTGCAAATAAACTATCATTTATAGTCTGCCACACAAAATAAATCTGTATGCTACATGTGTTGTATATGTGTGTGTGTTTGTGTGTTTGTGTGTATGTATATGTATATGCATTTTCCTGGAAATATAAGCCAGAGTCCTGTACATGTGAGGCACAGTGCTCTACCAATGAGCTACATTCTCTGATCCTTTATTTTAATTTCTTTAAATCCAAAAGATAACTTCACAGTAAAATCTAACAAAGATGCTAGGAAATAATTAGCGTTTTCTCACATCAGATTCAATCTTTTTGCTTATAACACACTTACCATTTATCAAGCTTTTAAATTTAATTTTAGGACTACTCCTGGTGGTGCTCAGGGATTACACCTGGCTCTGTGCTCAGGGATCACCAATCACTTAGGGGACTAAGTGTGGCTTCAGGGATCAAACCTGGGTTAGTGCACATAAGGCAAATGCCTTAACCACGGATCTATCTCGCAGGCCCTCTCAAGCTTATTTTAACATAAAATTTTAAACCAAAACAAGGGAAGTTATTTATAAATTCTCATTTGAATAAGAGATGATAGATGAGATTTATTAAATTGTTGTTGTTAGGCAGAAAGTCACAACAGAACAAACAAAAAACCCACACAAAAACAATACTTGAATCTTATGAGCAGTGGGACCAGGGTACTTGTGAACATTGAACCTACGTGAAAGTGATGAGCACACAGACAATTGCTAATCCATCTTTAAGAGCCTTGTTAGTTTCTTTACATGTTAGAGTTTTGATCCAATGTTTATCTTCTGGGCACAAATATGGCAAATAAGTTACTACCATAAAATTTTTTAGAAGTGCTAAAGTGTTTGGCAATCTATCAATGCTTTCAACAGCACATCAGAAAGTCTTAGAATGATGCCAGAAACTCCCTTCATACATAAAATACTCAAAGCAACAGAATGGATTTTCTTAGGCCTGTAAGCTCCAACCCCGTGAATACAATTTTTCAGGGAACAGCACAGGAAGAGATGCTGTGTAATGTGCAAGGAAACTGATGAAACTAAGAGAACTTCTCACAACTCACAGATATTCCTCCACAGCCCTGGAAGCCAGCCCTCTCCCCACACTCTCCTGTCAGCTCTCCTCTTAACACAGGCTCTGGGTCTTCCTGACATCCATGGGCAAGGGAAAGACTTGTCCAAGAAAATCTTCTGTCTGTTCAAGTCATAGCCCATAACCAACTTCCACAAGGTCTGACCCACCCTTTGCTAGGTAATGAGGGCTGTGAGACATTCTCCCCAGCTGCAGCCTATGTGCAGGTTAATTAAGACTCTGGGCATAAACAAAATCATCAGGTAACTTTGAGGGGCAAGAAACTGCACTGTGGTTGAAATCAGTATCTCATCATCAGGTATGAAAATGCAGTCAAACCTAGACACCATACCTTTCTTCCACAGATACTTCTTTCAGCTGCTGGTGTGGCTTGGTGCCTTCCATTTCCCTGATGCTCACAGCATAGATCTTGGTGGTGTAATCAATGGCCTTTTCTCGAGCAACGTCACTGTCGTAGCCTTAAACAACAGAGGGAGGGTGGTGGTGGGGGAAAGGAGTTGGCGAGCAGAGTGGTTTGCAGGGACACAGTGGGGATGTGGTGCAAGGTGTTCGCACATGGCAGTTGGGGCTCACCTCCATCCTCCTCAGCATCTGTGTCCGACTCCTCGCTGTCCACCAGCTTGCTCTCCTGGGTTCCTACAAATTCTCTTGTCCAGATCATGAGGGCCGTGTCAGCACCCCCGACAGTGAGCAGCACAGAGTCATTGTGAAGCCACCTGACGTTGGTGACATGTGCACTGTGTCCCACGTACTTCTTGAATCTTGCATGCTGGCCCTGCAAAGCCAGACATTAGCTGTGACCCTTTCCAAGACTTTTAATCCATTCTGCCTCTGGACGGCCACCTCTGTTGTTCTCTCTGGTGGCTTCTCCAAGCAGATAGAAATGAAAATATTGGTTCAAGCAGCCATTTCCTCACAGTTTTCTAGATGATAAGCTCTATGAGGGTAGAGAGCCTTGACTCTCTTTACCCCCTAAACCACTGCCTTGCTCATCAGACATCATCTATAGAGAGTTTGTGCGGGAACATTAGATGACAGCAACTATTCTTGGAAGCCTAAGAAAGCATAGAACACTTGTTTCTGTCAAATATCCAATGCGCTTTCTCTACAGGTCTCTTGAGTGAACTTCTGACTATGAGTCTGGCTGACATTTGAGATCAGAAGTGTCCCCCCAGTCCTACCCTATGGTGACTTTTGTACCACAGCCTACAGTGTAACGGAAGAACAAGGAATTGTTTATAGTCCTGGGTCTTCAAGTGAGATTCAAAATGTATACAGCAGTCCCTGCCAAGGTCAGCAGAAACACTAGCCCTAGAAAAACCCATATAATTGATATAAAACCAAAATAAGTTCCCTTTCAAAAACCAACCAAATAAATGGGGCTCACTGTATTAGTTATCACTGAATGTTCTCAGAGGGGTGCATCCAAGCCACTGTCACTTTATCCCCACTGAGGATGAAGGAGGAACACAAGTCTTGTTTCAAGGGAATGCCAACAAGTGGTGGCAAGCTTCTATTTTTTTTCTGGCACCAGAAACAAGCTTCTATTTTTGGATCCTTGTGGCACAGACCAGCAAAACAGCTCCAGAGGGGGAGTTTTTCTGTCCTCTCAGCAACTCCCAGGGAATACCTTACGCAACATGGGAAGCCTCGTGCACTTGCAGGCTGGGTGCTTGCAATGAAACTTTCTGCAATAACTGACAAGAAGCTTCTAGAGGGCTTTGGACTGGCATGTGGGGGAACCTAAAACTGGGGCAGAGAGTTCATGACTCTGATGTCCTCTTGTCAAGATTCCTCTGTATTTGTTTGATTCTAGTGGAAATGTCCACTTCCCAGCAGAGAGCTGAGTCTAGAAAGATTTGGGAAACAAGCATGTAGCATTTTCCAGGATGCCCTCCAAGGCCTATTTTGATAGTGAATACACAGGGCCAAAAAAGAATTGGCCAGGGGAGGCCATGTGTGACCATGTGAGATCCAGAAGCAAGGAAACAGGACTGTCACTGTGGCTGTACCCACATGTCCTGCTAGAATAGGAAGTCAGCTACTACATTTACTACAAATGCCAGCTGGTTTCAGGAAAGAGTTCGAGAAATGTCTCTTTATACTCACCCTTACATCAGGGGACATTGAGGTTCTAGACAGGATAGAAGAAAGACTGCAAAAGGAGAGGGAATATTCTAGGGGGAACAGAATTAGAGTGCAAAGGGAAAGAAAGTGACACAGAGGAGAGAACGAAAAAATTCTGGGTCATTCACTGAGGCTGAGTGTTTCAACAGAGAGTTTCTCAGTTCAACAGAGCTGAGAGTTTTCCAGCAAAAAGTGAACAAGATTCTCAGAATCAGAGATAAGATCAGTGCTCCATGGAACAGTAGAGGGAATTCATGGTTACTTGAAAGTTCCAGGAAACAAGCAGCTTCTCTAGGAGGAAGGGCGGTTTGGTGGATCATTATGCCAAATTGCACATTTTTGTTACACTCATCAGGCTTCGGCACCACAACTCTCCTGTTCAGTTGAGTCTCTGAAGAATGAGGAATGTATGTCTCAAGAACCCTGGTTTCTGATTTTCAGTAAGAAATCCTTGAGATTTCTGGCTCCTTGGATCTCTATCTGATGAACGCTAAGAAGGCTTCATACAATCACAACAATTTTGGTTTATCTTGAACAATTTACACACGGGTAGGGTGCAGGGGATGGCCTGGCAACCCTTATGCCTGTCTTATAAGCACAAGGCCACCAGTTCAATCTCTGGTATAGTCACATGTCCTGAGTATAGTCCTGGTGGTTCTACTGTTTGTGACCTTTGGTATGCCACAGAGTGTATGACCTGTAGCACACTGCCGCCAGGTGGTTTTGAACACAACTAAAGTCCTCAATCACTGGCAAGTACTACAACTAAAAAGCATGGGAGCACTGAGACAGCATGTGTGTGAGCATCAAAACCAAACTGTATGACCCTCAGTGAGCACCACAACCAAAATATGCTTCAGCCCCACAACTAAGTAAAGTCAGCTCTGTCAAACATGTGTGCAAGCATTGCAGCTCAAAGTGTGTGACCACCCCTTGTCCCCAACATGAGCACTGAGGTGGAGGGAGGGAGCCCCATGACCAGATGTACAATACTGGCCACTACAACCATCACCACAAGAACAAACATGGAAGGAGTGAGGGAATTTATACACAAGGTTCTTCCCATTCTCTAGAGACTTTAATATTCTAAGATGGAAACTTGAGAACCTGAGAGTAGAGTTTGCAAAAGTAAATGACCCCTTCTCTCAGGGGTAGTCTAAAGTACACATCTTCCATTATAAAACATGTAGGTACTGGAAATGACAAATGCAACCTGATACAACCTACTAGAAGATACTGCAGGATGGCATCTCTGAAGGCTGTTAACAAGAATACATCCTAAAATTTTTCACAATCATCACAGATTATCAGGGCAATGCAAATCAAGAGTACAAGGAAGTATCAAGAGCCCAAAAACTATTCTGAAAAGAGACTCACACGTTTACGTTCATTTCAGCACTTTCCACAAAAGACAAAATTTGGAAACACTCAAGTGTCTAAGAACAGATGATCAGATAAACTATGGCAAATATATAAAATGGAACACTAGACTGTTTTAAAGAAAAAAGAAATTCAATTTACTGCTACATAGATAGACCTGGAGAGTTTCATGTTGAGTGAAGTTAGTCAGATGAAGAGGGACAGGCACAGAATGATCTCTAACATATGCAGGATATAAAGAATCAGAGTAGGGGAATAATAAATGCTGAAAGACCCAACAGAAACTGAAAACTGGTCTTCAGTTAGAAGCTTACCACAGAGTGTGGGAGAGAAGGGATGCTGTGACAATGGTAGAGCGAAGTAGACACTATGATGAAGGGTGTGATGCCAGAATGTTTTATGTATGAAACTGGACTAATAACAGTTTTGTTAACTAGGGTGCCTGAAAGTAAATTTAGACACACAGCAGAAACAAAATCTGCAATCCTACGTTCCTTGCAGCACTATTCACCATAGCCAGAATCTGGAAACAACCTGAGTGCTCAAGACAGATGACTAGATAAAGAAACTATGGCACATCTACACAATGGAATACTATGCAGCTATCAGGAAAAAATGAAGTCATGAAATTTTCCTATAAATGGATGGAATGACTTCATTTATTTGTGGTATATAAAAATATATATGGTAGAAGACTAATATCCATGGCCAGGGAAAACGGGTTAGGAGGACTGGTCAATGGCTGGAAGAAACCACAAGTGTGTGGGGGGCTGAGTGTAGGTAAGATATAGAAGAGATCAGTATCACAATAATAGCTGGGAATGATCACGCTGGACAAGATCTGAGGGTTAAAAGTAGGTAAAGGGATATTCTTGATAACTTTTCAGTATCATGATTGCAAACCACAATGCAGGTAGGGGGCGGGGACAGTGGGTGGTGATGGGAGGGAACATGGGTACTTTGATGCTGTGAAATCCCTCCACACTGGTGGAGGGATGGGTGTTGAAATACTATATGACTGAAATTCAATCATGAACAGCTTTGAAAAAATAAAAAATAAATATAAATTAAAAAATAAAATAAGGAACCAGAGAGATAGTACAGCAAGTAGGCTGCTTGCCTTCCACATGGCTGCCCTGGGTGCAGAGCCACTAATAACCTTTGAGCACCACTGGGTGTGGCCCCAAAACAAAAAAAATTAAGAAATTAAAAAACTATTGGCTAAACTAAAAACAAAATCAGGAAATTAACATACAATATATACAATATATTTATATACAATAAAATATATATACAAATATATGTACAATAGAATGTTACTCAGCTATTAGAAATGATGAAATCTTGCAATTTGCTACAACTTGGATGGAAGTCATAGTAAGTGATATGAATCAGAATGAAAAAGAGAAATACCAGATGATCTCACTTATCTGGTGTGTAAAGAAACAAACAAGGACTCCCTAATGGAACAACACTGAAATTGGGTCAACAGAACTGAGAACTGAGGGTGCTGGGGGAGTGGGCGATAAGGGGTCTTGGGATAATGGTGGAAGGATTTGGGCACAACTGTAACTTAAACACTATGTTACTCAAACTCCAATAAAAATTTTCAAAAATTTTAAGAGTTTGGCTACTGGTTTTCAAATTATTTTATATTATTAAACTTATTTTATATTATTAATCAATCAAATATTACATAACAAAACTTAATAATAAAAGATAAATACTTTTAAAAAATGGCAAGGCAGAGGCCAGAGCAACATTAAGTGGATAGGGCACTTGCCTTGTACACAGCAGATCCATGTTTGGTCCCTGGCAGATCCTATGATCTCCTAAGCCTGCCAGAAGTGACTCCTGACTGCAGAACCAGGAATAAGCCCTGAGAACTACGGGGTATGGCCCCCAAACCAAAGTAAATACATAAGTAAAATGTGGACAGGGGACACAGCAATAGTACCTCAGGTCAGATATTTGCCTTGCATACAGCTGACCCAGGTTCAATTCCCAGTATCCCCATATGGTCCCCTGAAAACCACTGGGAGTAATTCCTGAGTTCAGAGGCAGGAGTAACCCTGAGTATCACAGAGTGTGACCCAAAAATAAACACATAAATAAATAAAATTAAATATACATTTTCCAGTACAACCCAGAAATTCCACTCTGATATATTTATTTATAAGAAAGAAAACATTTGCCCACAAATGTTTGTCCAAATTTTCATAGCAGCTTTATTATAACCAAGTGATGGAAAAGCATGTGTCTGTGCAGAGTTGAATGTGAGCAAATTCTACTGTATCTACACAATGGAATTCCAATTGGCAATAGAAAGGAATAGGCTATCATTGCAATAACAATACAGACAAATCTCAGAAACACATTTGTATAAAGTCAGACTTAAGACAGTACTTATTTCATTGTTCCATTTATACAAAATTCTGAAACAGGTAAAAGTAATGTATGGTCAAAAAATAATTTTTTCATCTGAGGGTGGAGAGGGTGTGGGGACTGTTCCATGTAGGAGCACTTAGAAACTTCTTAGGGATATGATAACATTCTATATCTTGATAAGAGTTTAGGTTGTATAAGTGTGTTTGTGAATGTTCACCAAAATGTACCTTAAATTTTGTGCATTTCAAGTGCAGTATAAAACATATGCAGACACTAACTTCTAGGTAACAAGATACATGTTAAAAAAATTTAGGGGTTGGGGCCAGAGCGATAGTACAGAATTTGCCTAGCATGTGGCTGACTGGAGTTCAATATCCAATGGTATCCAATGGTATCCAACTGGAGTTCCCTGGTATCCAATATGGTCCCCTAAGCACTGCCAGGAGTAATTTCTGAGTTCAAATCCAGGAGTAACCCCTGAGTATTGCCTGGTGTGACCCAAAAAGAAAAAAATAGGGGAAAATATCCTTGTGTCCAATAATCCAAATTTGCTTTGGATTATTGGATCTAGATGATGGGTTTCTAATAGTTCACTGTTAACATTTTTAGTCTTTGATGGTAATATGAAAAGGAAATATATCTGCTCATCTCTTCTACCAAAGAAATTTCTCTTCAAAACAGAAAGAAAAACAGGACTTATTTCCTTGAATGTAGCCACAAAAGTGTCAGTAATAGCTGAGGGCTGACATCACACATGGAAGGTTCCTATTCCAACAGGGAAAACAGGCAGACTCTGGCAAATATTGATTCATCAGTTAATGCAATCCATGGAAAATTCTAGGGTGAATTATTATACAGAAGGTCAATAAGCATTTGGAAAAGGAAGTAATGATTACAAGGCTGGAACAAGGATTCACTGTGAATTTGCCATTTTTAAAATTTTATTAGTAGTTTTATTAGAAAGAGAGATTAGGGATTCCAGAGACACAGTTACTCTTGCTTTTAGAAAAAATTTTCCAAGTCTTGAATAATGTGTTGGACTGAGGGCAGAAGTGTGAGCTCCATGAAGGTAACTATAGATTTCAAGACCTGCAGCTGGTTAGGGAACACTAACTACAGGTCTGCATTAATCAACAGAATTCCAAATGGAATAAGGGCTCCTTGTGGTGGTATTTGGTTGTCCTAATCTAATCTTGTTTTCCTTTCCATGGTGTTAGAAGGAAAAATACTTTGAAAAGTTATTAAAAGGTACTGAAGTTAGGACAAGAAAATTCAATTGAAATATAAATCTTATGTGGCACAAACATAAAGTTCTGTAGTTATAATTTAGATTAATGGTATATATACAGGATGAGGACAACCTGAACATTTTGGGGAATAACATCTATGATTTATTTCTTAGTACAGCAAAAGTTTGATGTCATTTCAATGATCTGAAACAAATGTAAAAGCAAACCAAGAAGGTAAGAGTCCCTGAGTTGGTCAGATTCCACATGAAGCAATGAATTCAGTTTTAAATCAGACCACCTGAAGTGGAACTGAAAAAATGATGCGATTAAAGAGAGCAAGCACCTAGAAATCATGTCCAAGGGGGAAGAGCAAAGGAATCAGACATTTTATTTGGAGAAAATGAAACTTTAGGGTCCAGAGCTTAAGTACAGGTAGGGTATTTGCATTGTATATGGTCAACCGGGTTTGATCCCCAGCATCCTATATGGTCCAGCAAGCACTTCTAGGAGTAATTCCTGAGTGCAGAGATAGAAGTAAGCGATGAACATTGCTGGAATGACCCAAAAACAAAACGAAAAAGAAATGAGATTCAAAATCTGATCTTCCTATATAAAAAGGCTTTTAGCAAACTAGAATTATTTAATAGTGAATTAGAAGGATAACTAAGAGAAACCTTAGCTTAATATGAAGCAGCACATTTTAACAAGTAGAGATACTTTAAATTGAATCACCTTGTGAGGCAGCAAATTTCTCATTTCTAGAAGTCTGCTAGTACTGTTTACAAAGGCACTTAGGACATCTTTGTAAAGAAAATTCTTTGCAATCTATGAGCTGCTGAATTTGATGACCACAAAAGGCCTACCAAGGAGAAATTCTATATGATGACAATGGACAATGGTTCAAATTATTAAACATCAAGTCATATAGGTTTTGATATAACATAAACAACCATACTAAAAATAACATCATTGACTTCTTAAGAGTTCAATATTTTGGAAATTGTCAGTATTAAAAAAATTGAAAGAAAAAATTATGCCACAGATACAAGAAATAAGCATTGGGTCTGTGTGTAAGAATATATAACACGCATGCAATATTACCTTGACAGGGTATGAAAAGAGCTTAACAAAGCCAAAATCATCTCCGGTGGCTAAGAGGGAACAGTCCTTGGTGAGACAGGCAGCATTTACATCTGTCACATCACTATGAGCGGGCCAGATTCCCTCACAGGTGGGTCCCAGGACACAGGTCCATGTGTCCCACTCTATCTTCTCGATCTTAAAAAGAGGAATTTAAAATTAATATGCTTTTACATCACCTAGAGATCTTTGTTTTATTTGAAAAAAATTGGAGGCTGCACATGATTGCTAAAACACTAGGCATCTGTGTTGTGTGCTGAGATGCAACAAACTCTAAAATGCAATTAAAGTTTATGTTCTTAAAAGAAACCCTAACACTTTTGTCAAATATCCATATACTTTTTGTAGGATAACACTTGTTTGTCCTTTCTCCCTGGTTACAAAGAGTTTAGCCAGGGAGAAAGGGAGTTATTGGGTTACACCATTCACAGTGTTCCTGAGGCACTCCCATTCCTCTATGTTTATCTTGAATTTCTCTGTGCTCTTTCTCCACGGGTTTATCACTTATTTCCCCTAAGCAGTACCTGTGACTTGTAAAGTCAAATTCCCCAGAAATCTCTGCATTTGTATTTATAAGTGATACTACACTTGATCTTAGCCAAAAGGCCGAGAAGCGATAGCACAGCGGGTAGGGCGTTCGCCTTACAAGCGGCCAACATGGCTGAACCCGAGTTCGATTCCTCCGCCCCTCTCGGAGAGCCCGGCAAGCTACCGAGAGTATTCGATATGCCAGACACAGTAACAACAAAGTCTCCAATGGAGACGTTACTGGGCCCACTCGAGCAAATCGACGATCAACGGGAGGGCCTTTTTACAAGTGAAATATTGCTTTTCTCTTTCCCTTATGTCCTTTGCATAATTTACTTCAGAGCAATGTCCTTTTGGTATAGACACAATACAGTTAATGCTATGCTTTGTAACTTGGGAGTTGACTCCAAAAAATATTCACTCTTGAGCATCTGTTTACCCGACTTTTAGTTCCTAGCATCCCAAAGAAGGGTCCCAATGAAGGAACTGGATGGACCCAGGACAAGCTGTGAGCTACCCTGTCATCAAAATGAGACAGACCAAGCGCCACAATACTTAACTACAAGTTAAGAGCACGGTTATGGACATATTTTGTCATGATCCAAAGAGAAACAACTGAACAAGGACCCTGCTTAGGGCTAGGAAGGGCTCATCTGGCCTGAGCACTGTAGTCTGGGATCTATAGCGAAATATTCCCAGGAGAGGCACCCTATAAGCCTAATGTATCTCTTACTATGTCCATTCAAAATGATGAATATTATTAAGAAGTAGAATTAAGATGAATGTTTAAATGGTTGTTGGGCTAAGGAAAGGAGAAACAAATGCACCCCTAGAAGAAATTCCACCCTTGAGCAGTTCTCTTAGCAAGGGATCTTTGTCTTAGAAGAGCTTCCCCAGAAGGAAGGGAAGGGCTTTACATATTGATTTACATGTTGATTGTGCTATCTGACCTAGGTGCAGTTGCTCCTCCAAATTTTGGGAGGAGAGGGAGAGAGGGAGAGAGGGAAAGAGGGAAAGAGGGAGGGAGGGAGGGAGGGGAGGAGAGAGAGAGAAAGAGAGAGAGAGAGAGAGAGAGAGAGAGAGAGAGAGAGAGAGAGAGGACAAGCATGGGGGACAGGAGGAATACAGGAGTGAAAGAGACTGGAAGGAGGCAGAGGGAGCTGAGATTGGAATAAACTGCAACTGACCAATCAGCCTGGCGATCCTGTTCCCTCCTTCATGCATCTGCTGTGGGCGGTGGCAGCAGCACCCAGGGTAGGGAAGCGGCTCATGGCCACTGAAAGTACATGGCGGGAGAGGGAGACCATGCTGCCGCCTACACACTCATGTGTGATTACACACTTTTCTTTTGATAAATGAACACTTTGGAATTGTGGAAATCTGACAAGAATATGACTTTTTTTTTACTGGGGTCTTTATTATTGTGTAAACCATGGTTTCTCATCTAGCACTGCTGATATTGAGGGCAGGGTCACTCTTTGCCCCTTGACTCAGGAAGAGATGCCTACATTTTTGTTAAAGAAAAATTGAAATGAATTCTCTCCCTCCCTTTCTATCTCCTCAAAAACACCTTTCAATTTTTTTCCCCCAAAATCCTTCATAGTCAGTGGAATGGTCTGGCAATATTGGTGGTTAATGGTGATAAAAGCAGTGAGTTTTCCCATTGGTAGAGACAGTATCAGGGAGGTCAGGCAGAGGAAGCTCAGTTGGAAGGATTTCTCCACCAAGAGCACAAGAGATCCTTCATTGAAATGGAAAAAAAAAGTGGTGAAATCCCTCCACCATTGTCTATAGTTTCAGCATCATTAACAAGTTTACTTTCTCCTTCTGGGTTTTTCTTAATATTTATTCTTAATTTTTATCTTAATGCTGGAGTGATAGCACAGCGGTAGGGCGTTCGCCTTACACGCGGCCAACATGGCCGACCCGAGTTCGATTCCTCCGCCCCTCTCGGAGAGCCCGGCAAGCTACCGAGAGTATTCGATATGCCAGACACAGTAACAACAAAGTCTCCAATGGAGACGTTACTGGGCCCGCTCGAGCAAATCGACGATCAACGGGAGGGCCTTTACCTTTTATCTTAATGTTTTATTTTAAATACAATTTCCATGGCTTCCAACAAGTTAAGACATTTGCTTCCCCTGGAGACTCTATGTCCAGATCCAGTGTTCTGTTGAGATGAAGTCAGATGTATGCATGTCTTTTCCTACACATGAATTCTTCAGAACCAGAGACTGAAAGTCTCTGGAAGTCTTTTGGTTCCCTTTAGTATGTATTATAATTGTTCATCTAAGATGATCTTGTTCCCTGTCATTTGGTTAAACTGCACTTTATTTCAATAAACATATTCAAGGCACTGGAGCAGGAAGGAAAAATCTATACAAAATGATATAAATGTCACATAAATACACATGAGTAATGTGGTCTAGGCTGTGTAGTCCCACAGAGAACCTTGTAGGCTCAGGCCACAATCCCATGGTCTTCTTACTCTCTTGGAACCTTAATTTTTCTATTTGTAAAATGATATTGAAACTAATATGATATAGAAGGTTGATCTGAATAAAAAACAGGCATATCAATAGATGGTCACTGAACTTGTCTTGAGGTTATAAATATTCCCCTATAAAAAAGTTAAAATGAGGACTGATCTGAGATAAACCAGAATGACAGGGCTAAACCAATGGATCACTAAACAATTTTTCATCAATATAATACATCATCTATAACAATATATGTTTCTTAAGGAATTTTTTTTTAGAAACAATTAAACCATTATAAATGGCGTGTGTTCAAATGTCTCAAGATAATTTTACAATACTGAGGCAGTTTGTGTTACCAACAAACTGAAGCTAGAGAGGGGCAGGTATTGTGCCTATTGCATGGGCTCTAATCTACTCTTCCTCAATGGAAGCGATTAACATTTCTCTAGTCTCCTTTCTTTTTGCCTTTGTGGTATGGGGGATAAGACCAACATTCTCATATACACAAGACCAATGATCTACCATTAAGATATATTATGGTCCCTCCTTTTCTTTCTCAAAGGTAAGAGAGCAAAGAATGAATTAGACTTTCTCCAGAAATAAGAGGATGTTCTTAGTTCAATCAAGTAATTACTTGATCATTGTATAACTGAAACCCAAGCACAAAAATTTATAAGTCTATAACTGTACCTCATGGTGTTTCACTAATAAAAAAAATAATTATTTCGGACATCAGGATAATCCTCTGGTAGCACCATGCAGCTGAATTTCAGAAAAACACAAAATTCAAAAATTTCAGCAATGGGCCAGAGCAATACAGCCGATAGGGTGCCTGCCTTGCATGCAACCTACCAGGGTTTAATTCCTATTGTTCCATATGGTTCCCTGAGAATTGCCAGGAGTAATTCCTGAGTGCAAAGCCAGGAGTAGCCCTTGAGCATTACCGGGTGTGATCCACGAGAGCAAAAAAAAAATTTATGCAAGATGGCTGGAAAGATAGTACAGTGGGTAGTACAGTGGGTAGCTCTGCACATATCTGGATTGGGTTCAATTCCTGAAACCCCATATTGTCCCCTGAACCCTCCAGAGGTGACCCCTGAACATAGAGCCAGGAGTAAGCTGGACATGACTTCCAAAAAACAAACCAAAAAAAAAAAAATCCAGGCTTTGATTTTACCCGTAAAAATTTGACACATGTGATCTATAACATGAGATAAACATGGAAAAACAGTTGGATACATTAGATTAGTCAGACTTTGTCCAGTTCTTGTTTATGTATTTTATTGTTGTAGAAGATACTATTGCCATTACAAAGAGCAAACACTGAAAAAGCTACTATTCAAACTTTATGTTCATAAAGGCTTTGAGTAAAACATGTCAAGTAGAAAAGTAGAAATGTATGGAGAAAAATTGTTAGCTTATTTACTGTCATTGGCAGGGAAAGCTAAGCAGAATGCCAACCACACATTGCTCCACCAGTGCTGTAATAAAGCCATATGTCCTAAAATGGTGGGGAAAACAGGGTAGCAGTCAGATTAAAGAAATGACTGAGCTTAAAGATGCATTAGATATAATCCATATTAGTAATGAGAATTGATAGGTATTTTTTTTAAATGTCATATTAAATCTTCATGAAATGCTTTGTAAATAATGATTACCTCTGAAGGTCTTATTATATGCCGTTTGCCTCTTGGAGCTTCAAAGAAGAGTTGTTCTTTGGCACCCGAATTAACTTGCAGCAACTTTCCTGTTATGATAAAAATGAAGCAGAGTTAATTAAACTCTACATTGATCCATTTTATTATAAAACAACAAGAATGGTTGCAACTATTTTGATTCATTTTAATCAAAGTCCCATAAGTAAATGTATGTTGACATTCAAGTACACGAAAAAAGGCAATTACCTAGAATGGCATAAGGCACAAAACGATAATTTTTAAAATATATGTATAGCATAAAACCTGACTGACCTTGCTCATTTAAAAAAAAAAAGAGGCTTAAACTAGTTATGGTCTATTCTCACACTGAAAGTAGCTACATACAGTTTGAAAACTCTGACAAAAATCAATTTGTTGCTCTTCTTACCTGGTGCCTACTATTACAGAGCTGTAGTAAAAGCAAGCTGCTTTTATAAGAATTATGGCATCGGAAGTGAAAACCTCGTGGCACGGTTTTGCATTCATTCAGATCTAAACTCTAAATTTTCTCTTTAATGTTTAGAAACAGAACTATTATAAACTCACAAAACAAAGTATAAATGCTCATTCTCCCTCCTCCCACTTTCTTCTTTTGGAAATATTGGTAAAGAAATCCAACATATGCCTAAAATCAAAATATTAAACAAAAATAATCTTCCAGTCTTATGGAAAATTATAATTTTGTATTATTTTGATTAATTTTGCAAAGGACTGGATTTTTGAGTTGTTTTCCTATCACATCAATAATCTTTTGAGGTTTGCAATCTATTATAAACTATACTTTGGTATTTTGGAGAATTAAAACATGGTGATGAGGAGGCTCTGCCTTAGCTCTGAGGAGATGGTGTACTTGAAAAAAAGTTTCTCTGAAATAGGCACATTTCCCTGAATTTATAATTAATCATATAATAATAAATATGATAAAATGAATTTATAATTAATCATATAATTAATCATATAGGGTTGGAGCAATTGCACAGCAGGTAGGGCGTTTGCCTTGCACGCAGCTGACCCAAGTTCAATTCCCCCACCCCTATTGGAGAGCCCAGCAAGCTACCAAGAGCATCTTGCCTGCACAGCAAAGCCTGGGAAGCTACCTGTGACGGTATTCAATATGCCAAAAACTGTAACAACAAGTCTTAATTTGCTGTGAGATGTTACTGGTGCCTGCTGGAGCAAATCAATGAACAACAGGAGGACAGTGCTACAGTGCTACATATAGAAACAATATAAGGAAAAAGAGAGCTTAGATAATTCTGGCATTACACCCTAATGATTTTTTTTTCTTTTTGTGTCACACCCAGTGATGCACAGTAGTTACTCCTGGTTCATGCACTCAGGAATTACTCCTGGCGGTGCTCAGGGTACCATATGGGATGCTGGGAATCGAACCTTGGTTGGCTGCATGCAAGGCAAATGCCCTACCTGCTGTGCTATTGCTCTAGCCCCCAACTAGCTAATGATTTTTTGATACTTTCCAATTAACTAAATATATCTTGTAAATAGTCTACCTATCTATCTCAGAGTTCCAGAAAGTCATTGCAAATAACAAAAAAAGTAGAAAAGGATTCAGCTAAAATAATATTTGGATATGTTTAAATTTGGAAACTTTTTGGTAATGAATTCAAAAGACTGTAATTATTAAATAACCCCTAAACTCACTTTATACCAGTTGTCAAATATCATGCTTTAAGAAACAGCATCAAACTATTAAAATAGTTAAAATGAGGAACTTTTTAACTGTAAGAATATGGTATGACTGTAGCACTCTTTACAACAGCCAGAATCTGGAAAAAACTTGAGTGCCCGAGAACAGATGACTGGTTCAAGAAACTTTGGTACATTTACACAATGGAGGACTATGTAGCTGTTAGAAAAGATGAAGTCATGAAATTTACATACAAGTACTACACAGAAAGTATCATGTTAAGCGAAATGAATCAGAAAGAGAGGGATAGACACAGAAAGATTGCATTTATCTGGGGAACATAAAGTAACAAAATAGGAGACTAACACCCAAGAGTGGCCAAGATTAGTACCAGGAATTTTGCTCCATGGCTTGGAGGCCAGCCACACATGCTAGGGGAAAGGGAGCTCAGATAGAGAAGGGAGCACCAAATAAAGGCTGTTGGGAGAATCCTCCCAAGATGGGAGAAGCATGCTGAAAGTAGACTACAGATCAAACATGATTGCCACTCAATGCCTCTTTTGCAAACCACAGCACCCAAAAGGAGAGAGAAAACAAAAGGGAATGCCCTGCCACAGAGGCAGGGTGGGATGGGGGGGGGGGGAGGGATACTGTGACCCGTGGTGGTGGAAAATGGGCACTGGTGGAGGGATGGGTACTTGATCATTGTATAACTGAAACCCAAGCACAAAAATTTGTAAGTCTACAACTTTACCTCATGGTGTTTCACTAATAAAAATTAAAAAAAAAAGAATATGGTATGATTAAGTCAATGATGGTTAGAGGGATCGCTTGGGATGGGAGATGTGTACTGAAAGCAAAGGACCAAACATGATGGCCTCTCATTATCTGCATTGCAAACCATAATGTCCATAAGTAGAGAGTAAGAGGGAAATTTTCTGCCTATGGCAGGGGAGGGGTGGGGGGGGGGCAGGGAGGGATACTGAGGACATTCGTGGTGGAAAATTTACACTGGTGGAGGGATGGGTGTTCGATCATTGTATGACTAAAACTCAAACTCAAACATGAAAGCTTTGTAAGTGTAGCTCATGGCGATTCAATAAAAAAAAGGGGGGGAGAGGGAGAATATGGTATGAGATAGGGGTTTGCATTAATTTTTCATATGTTGTTGACCAGTTTTCCCAACATAGCTGAAGAGGCTTTCCTTGATCCACTGCACACACTTAATTCCTTTTTCAAAGGTTAGCTGTCCCTAGACCTGTGATCTGTCTTTGGGCTCTCAATTCTATTTCGCTGGTCTGAGAGTTTGTCTTAAATGCAGTATCACACTGTCATGACTGTTGTAACTTTATTGTATAATTTGAAGTTGGAAAAATAAAATACTTCTCTTCTTTTTTATCCTTAAGATTGCTTTGGCTATTCAGAAGGTTTTATTACTCCATAAACATTTTAACAGCATTTGGTCTATGGTCTATGTCTTTTTAAAATGTTGGAAGGGGCCGGAGAGATAGTACAGTGTAGTACAGTGGGTATGGACCCCCCCCCAAAAAAACAAAATAAAAATTCACTGGTATTTTTTATAGGACTGCACTGAATATGTATAGTGTTTTGAGTAGGATAGCCATTTTGACAATATTAATCCCTGAACCAGAAATAGATTTCCATTTCCTTGTGTCATCTTCAGTTTCTTTTATTAAGAATTAAGCATTTTCTTTATATAAGTATTTCATTTCTTTTGTTAGGTTGATTTCCAGGAGCTATTTTTTTTAATTAGTGAAACACCATGAGGTACAGATATAAACTTACAAATTTTTGTGCTTGGGTTTCAGTCATACAATGATCAAGTACCCATCCCTCCACCAGTGCCCATTTTCCACCACCACGGGTCCCAGTATCCCTCCCCGCCCCCCCATCCCACCCTGCCTCTGTGGCAGGGCATTCCCTTTTGTTTTCTCTCTCCTTTTGGGTGCTGTGGTTTGCAAAAGAGGCATTGAGTGGCAATCATGTTTGGTCTATAGTCTACTTTCAGCATGCTTCTCCCATCTTGGGAGGATCCTCCCAACACCCTTTACTTGGTGCTCCCTTCTCTATCTGAGCTCCCTTTTTCCCTAGCATGTGTGGCTGGCCTCCAAGCCATGGAGCAAAATTCCTGGTACTAATCTTGGCCACTTTTGGGTGTTAGTCTCCTATTTTGTTACTTTATGTTCCCCAGATGAATGCAATCTTTCTGTGTCTATCCCGCTCTTTCTGACTCATTTCACTTAACATGACACTTTCCATGTAGTACCACTTGTATGTAAATTTCATGACTTCATCTTTTCTAATAGCTACATAGTACTCCATTGTGTAGATGTACCAAAGTTTCTTGAACCAGTCATCTATTCTCGGGCACTCAGGTTTTTCCAGATTCTGGCTATTGTAAAGAGTGCTGCAATGAACAAACAAGTGCAGATGTCACATTGACCATACTGTTTTGCTTCTCTGGGATATATTCCCAGGAGTGGTATTGCTGGGTCAAATGGGAGCTCAATTTCTAATTTTTTGAGAATCGTCCATACTGTTTTCCAAAAGGGTTGAACCAGTCGGCATTCCCACCAGCAGTGAAGGAGGGTCCCTTTCTCGCCACATCTGTGCCAGCACCGGTTGCTTTTGTTCTTTTGGATATGGGCCAGGCTCTGTGGTGTGAAATGATATCTCATTGTGGTTTTGATCTGCATCTCCCTGATGATTAATGATGCAGAGCATTTTCTCATGTGCCTTTTAGCCATTCGGATTTCTTCTTTGAGAAAGTTTCTGTTCATTTCATCGTCCCATTTTTTTGATGGGCTTGGGTGTTTTCTTCTTGTGGAGTTCAACCAGTACCTTATATATCCTTGTTATCAACCCCTTGTCAGATGTGTATTCAGCGAATATTCTTTCCCATTCTGTAGACTGTATTTGTATTTTGGTCACTGTTTCTTTTGAGGTGCAGAAGCTTCTTAGTTTAAGATAGTTCCATTTGTCTATCTCTGTTTTCACTTGCTCGGCCAGTGGCATGACATCTTTGAAGATATCATTAGCTTCAATATCATGGAGGGTTTTGCCAACTTTGTCTTCAATGAACTTTATGGATTCCGGTCTGATGTTGAGGTCATTAATCCATTTTGATTTTACTTTTGTACATGGCGTTAGGCAGAGATCTGAGCCCACTTTTTTGCACGTAGCTGTCCAGTTTTGCCAGCACAATTTGTTAAACAGGCTTTCCCTGCTCCACTTCACTTTTCTTGCCCCCTTATCGAATATTAGATGATCATATGCTTGGGGGGGAAATGTCAGTATATTCAACCCTATTCCACTGGTCTGCAGCTCTGCCTTTGTTCCAGTGCCATGCTGTTTTAATGATTACTGCTTTGTAGTACAGCT